TGCGCACTCATTCTTGATCTTGGGTTAGGGCTTGCACTATAGTCTTGCAGTTACTTTAGCTTATTACTATAGAGAGATGTTACTGTATTTTTTATATAGGAGAAACCTAACCAAACCAGAATGAAAAATTAGAAGAGCTAAATGCAAAAGAATATTGGTTATACCAGTTCTTTACATATTGTAACTAAAATTGTGAAGTATTAGTAACTATTTTGCCTTAATTCTTATTTTAAAAATAGATTTATTTTACTAGTCTTGGTCTTGGTCTTGCAACGGTTAGCGGTCTGGGTCTTGGTTTAGCAAAGTGCAAGACTCAGGCCGATTTTGGGCAACACTATTAATGACCCTTTCAAACTTGTTTGTTCGTCGTGAAATATTTACAATAATAAGTTGGTTTAAATGATTACGTATCGCTTGGATAAGATTCTTTTATTTTTACATTTTAATGTTAGTAATAGTTCTGACAAAAGTCCGATTTGTGTGGCAATTTAACAAAAATTGTATCCTATTACTGTCTGTTTTAATTAATATTCTTCATCGCCTCCTTTACATTGGAGCCTCTTCTGCGTTGGGGTCCGGGCTGCATGGCCAGCTCATTTTGCACACTTCTGTTGACTGGCACGTATTCCTTCTAGAAACCTGAAAATTAATCTCTGCCTTTTATTTCAAAAACATTTTGTTTTTTTCATAAATTGGACAGGCCAAATCAAATCGGTAGAAGGCTCAAAGCACAGCAGCGAGAATGGAGAGGCGAGGCAATGGCAAGGGCTTGGCTTAAATGAGATGTCCAGAGATTAAGTAGGCATACAGCCCTTCTGCCCCCTGCGAAGTGATGGTTGACAGCAGTTCCGTAGGGTGGTAAAGAAGAAGTGGGAGGAGAGAGTAGGAATCTTAAACTATTGTGTGACATTTTTTGTTGCCCTTCGTCTTATGAATGATTTTTCCCCTAGGGAAAAAAAACAAAAAAAACTGGAGGCAATTCATAGGGTATTTTTAACATACATCCAGTGCAGTGTCTAGATAATTTGAGGCAAGGGACGAATGAATGTTTGAGTACACCAACAAATAAATTAATTTAATTTTAAAAAACAACAATTTCTTAATAAAAACTACAAAATTCTCTTCTAATGAGAAAAAAAAAGTGTATATGTCTTTAGAGTAAAACTATTATTGCATTTAGAAAATAAAATAGAACTTCACTCCTGTTGAGATGGGGGAAGGGCCTCTCCTCTCCTCGTCATCAGCTTTAAACTTAACTAATATAGATATAAAAAAATTTAAAAAATGATCAAAACTTATCAAATAAACTATTTTTTTTCTAAAAGTTGGCAAAAAAGATAAAAATTCATGATTTTATGAGAAATAGAATTTTGTTCAGTTTATTCCACGGATATTCTTTCCTAAAAAAAAAAATCCATATGTGTGCGTGCCCGAGTGGGTGCAAAAATATATTCTAGTTTATAGCAAAACAAATAATTCATAGCTTCACAATAAATTATTGGGTTTATTTCGCTGAAAACAAGAATTAGGATAAAAAAAAAAAATCAAATCAGCTAATGTTATATTTATATTTATTCTTTTTATATTTATATTTATTCTTTTTATATTTATATTTATTCTTTTTATATTTATATTTATTCTTTTTATATTTATATTTATTCTTTTTATATTTATATTTATTCTTTTTATATTTATATTTATTTCTCTATTATGTGTATATATTGTTTGAATGAGAACTCTTAGCCCTAATACTTATAGCCCTCGAGCAGTGGATGATTGTATTATTATTCAATAAATAGATTAAAAAAAAAATAAAAAAGGAAAAAAAAAACAATTAATAAAAGGATATTTGAACAGCACATTATCCTATCGCAATTCATTATTTAAAAATAATAATATAATAACTAAAATGGGACAGAAAGGTTTAATAAGATTCTGAGTTGAGATGTTTTAACCGAAAGTAAATTTGGTTGGTGGGAAAGTTTAAGAAGTGGGCGTCGGAACCCTACTGGAGCTAAGTTTTAAGTTTTACAAATGACTGTTTCATCTGTTCCTAATAAATCCGCTCCTCAAGTAGCTATGTAACACGTAAGCAACCAACTGTTCGGAGCCAAGTAATTTTATACCAACAGTTTTTCGTCTGGTATTTTCATAGTTAATGTTATTCTTAATCTGGTTATTTATATTTTTAAAAACAATTATTATTTTATAAACAAATGAAATTTGAGGCGAATATATCATCTCTTTTCTTAAAGATGTTTATTTAAAAAAAAAAACAACAATCGCCTTTTTCAAAATAACAATAAACTGACCCATCATCGGGAGCGTACTGCTTTTCGCCTATCTATCTATTCCTTCATATATATGTTTATCTTTACATCTATATGTTTTTTTACAAGTGTATCATTTGTTAATAACACTTGATATATATATTTGTATCCATATGTAAAAATATTCGGCCATTTATAATATTTCGTTTGGTAGTCAGTCGAGGATTGCAGTCATAGTGAGGAACAAAAATAAAAAATTATTTTTTGAAATGATTCGGCCCAAGTTTTAGACCTTTATCAGGGCTGAGGAAAGACAAAATAACAATCAAATAAAAATTATTGCAAACCTATTATATAAAGATATGGAATCAAAATACATGTAACTGCGAATAAATCAATTCAGAGTGAATAAACTTCAAGTTGTGTTAGATTAATTAAAATATATAAGTACTGTGTGTAATAAGTAACGCATACAAATATATGTAAAATATTATGATAAGTTTTGATTAAAACATAAAATAATGGACTGTGTGATACAATATTTTAAAGTAGTTATATTTATATTTATATTTATACACGACCTAATTATTATTTAGAATTTATATAATACTTAGGTAATTATTAATTGCTTTATAGTCAATTAATCACCATTTTGGGAATTTATTGTAACAAATGCTCCTCCAACGAGTAGTTAAGTAGTAGCGCAGACTTTCCAGTTTGATTGGGAGACGATAGATAAAAGAAAATGTCTAGTGTTTATATTATGTGTACAAATTATCTAAAATGTATAAAATAAACATAAGTATTGTGAAACGAACAAATAGAATACTGAATGTTTAAAGATAACTGTATACGTATGTTTATAGTTTTTATTATTTTTTTTATTTGAATTAAATATATAATATAATAATATAATAACATTAAAAATGGGGAGGGGAGGGGGAGGGCTATAACATTGAAGAGCCTCAATGCTCGATAACAATATTGGATATTAGCCGAAATTAAAGGATTAATTGAGTCAGAAAATGTTGTTGATCCCTGGATGTAAATGAAAATGAAAATGATAGTAACGTTTGAGGCCTTAGCCTAGCCAGATAATTGACTTATCCTATTTTTTAAATCGATTTGGGTTTAATCGATTTTATTCATTCAGGTAGGTTATTTGGTATTAATTCAATTTTTTTCTTCATTTTTTTTTTTAGGGGGAGCATTGATATTGTGGCCCCCTCAATTATCTTCATTGTTAAATGCTCTATTGGATGAAGAACAGGTTCATATTCGATTGAGAGCATCTTCAAATCATACAATTTTGGTTATCCCCATTTTGTGTTCTCAGATTAGTGCAAAATGATTGATGAGGATGTACATTAAAACGCCGTATGAATAAAATATGTCTTAAAATAAGTCACGCAATTTTAATAATTTTCGGTTGTTGTTCAATACTAAAAATTCGAAACAGAAAGTTGTTCAATATATACAACAACAAAAAACACAAAAATATTTACTTGTATTTTAACCTGTTCAAAACAATTGAGTTTAAAATTTTAAACCAAATTATAGAATATTAAAATAAGCTTCTGTGAATGAAAACTATGAAAAAAAAATTAAAAAAATAGCAGACAATTTTCCATTCCAAACATTATTTCTGTATGGGTTTCGAGTTGAATGGACCCATAGTGGTGATCTTTTGTTGCTCAATCTCTTCAACTCCTTCTTGTATTTGATTAATTGTAATTGTTCTCGGTTTGTTCCTGTTCCCCTCCCTTTTAGTTATCAACAAATACATTAATAGGAAATAACAAAATATATTATATCAACAAACCATATATTTTGTATTAATGCATACGTATGCGTATAAGTATATTAGATGTACATAGTTTATACATGCACTATTCTATTTTAATATTTTTTTCTTGAATCATAGAGACAATTTTAATTTTAATGTAAGTGTGAGTGTGTGATTATCATGATTTTTAAAAAATGAAAAGAGTTCCTAGTTATTTTTTTGAGATTACTCTCATCTTAATTTCTCAGTCGTAAATATCTAGAGCAAGAATTATTATTATTCAGTAATTACTTCAAGTAATTATTTTTATATTAAAAGTTTGTTCCTTGTGTAAAATTTATATAATTATTCAAATTAGATATTGTATTTTTTTTTTCATAGAAAGAACAATAATCACGTTTATGCAAAAATTCATTATTTTATGTTTAATCTGTGTTGATTCATCCTGAGAAATAGTATCAAGTTTATATATATATATGTATGTTAATAATTAATTTTTTTTGTTTATTTCATATTCAAATAGTTGAACTTAATATGAGTATTCTAACTAAAAGCTATAATAGACTTAAACATTGTTTCTACTTAGTCTGTCCTTATAGTCCATGGTTCATATTTCTGTACCATTTGTTTATAACATATCTTATACCAATAGTTACCTTGATTTCAACAGCAGAGCATTAAAAATTATTATTTTCTCCAAGGTCCTTTATTAATATTACTTTTACTTACCAGTATATGAAATAAATACATTTATTTCATTTCATAAACTTTTGTTGATATATTACAGTGTATAACTTAAATTTATAATAATATCTTTAAATCTTAATCGAAAAAATATTTATTTTATTTTTCAATGTGTTTTGAAACATTTGGATTATTTATGATTATTATAATCATTATTAATATGGTTAAAATGTATATTTTTCGATTTCTGTAGAATAATTTAAGATTTTTTTTTAATAATAATCCTATGAAGAATTAATGCCTTTTATTCAGAAATAAATAAATTGGTATTCAATTTTCATTCCCAATTGTGTATACTGACTAAAATATAAGGTTTTCTTCTATTTTTTTTAAGGTATACGAAAAGGATTCAGAATAAAATTATATTGGTTAAAATTGTGGACAAACCAAAGCATAGGCAAACATTATCATAAATATCATACTTTAACAATAAAAAATATATAATAGTTAATAACAAGTTATTAACATCGTCTAATTGATATATGAAATACAAACTGTTCAAACTTGGTAGTTGGAAAATATTATAAAAGTTTACTGCACTAACAATATTTAAAATAGTGATAATTAACATACAATCATGCTTCATTGATATTTAAAACCTGGGATTATTTTCATGAACATACTGTAATGTTTCCAATGAAAAGTAGATAAATATATTTCAAAGCCACTCAATACTAAAATACCTAAAAATATAATCAGATACCAAAGTTTAAATTAAAAAAAATCGATTTATTCACAATTAACTGGAAGTATAGCGCTTACATTATGTATTATAACAATTGCTTCAGAAAATATGATTATCCGTTCCTAAAAAGTTATCGAGTATGCAAAAGCTCAAAAATTAATGTAAGACTTAAGATCCAAATTTTCAAATGAATATTTTACAACTGGAATGTTAAAAAAACATTTTTAACAACTAAGATTATTGGTTAATGGTGGATGATATATTGTATTATAAGTTAACTTGATATATAAAATTTATGATTGAATGGATAGTTCTTGCCTAGTTCTTCCCTGCCGTTCTGGATCTATTACGGAACCCTTTTCGGACGTAGGTCTCCAGAAAGAATTCTTGGTCTTGGTGAAGTTGACCGTGGGCGGATAGGACTATACCCCTCGCTTCCTGGTAGGAAAGCCCCAACTCCATGAGACCGATGGCAATGAGGAACGGTCCGTTGTTCATTCCGTGGACTCCAACTCTAATACCTCCCTCGTGGTAGTTAGTGCTGATGATGTCAAGCCATCTCTCCAGCTGCGAAGGCAGAGGAGTGTACCAGTCTTCGTCGATGAAGGTGAGTATCGTCTCCTCTATTTCTGCCTCTACGAGCCCCATGTTCCTGGAGAAACCACGAGCGGTGGTCGTGTTGACCACCGTACGAATCTTGTTCGTCTTGAGGGCGTCTATGTATTTGGGGTTGTTCAAACAGTCCCCGCCGACGGAGAAGGCAAACCTGCTCCCTTCGTGGGCGATCACGTTGAAGAAACCTACATCCACGGATATCATCCTTTTTCTCTGACTCAGCAGCGACTGACCCCCTCCACAGCTGGAGCAGGACGAGGAGAACCCTCCCTTTCCCCTTTCCTCCTTTTTAATATCTCTCATCTTTAAAACTTAGCTCTATATATCCAATCCATATGTAAATGGAGCCACTTTATATATATATATATATATATATATATATATATATATATATATATATATATATATATATATATATATATATATATATATATATATAATATAAAAACTTTTCATTCATCATATTATAATACCATAATACCAGAGATTTCAATTAGCAAACTACAATATACTATTATTATTCGTTATCAGATACATGATCTTCTGTATTTTCAAATTAAAAAAAAAAAGAGATATAGTTGCGTATTTTCAGATAGACTTTCAGAAATTTCCATTTATTTGTAATCATTAATCGTTATTCTTTTAATGCCAATTATTTTATTTTATGAAATTTAAATAAAAAATGTAATCGAAATGATATCAAACGGTTGCACTAATTAAAATAATTTTAAAAGTCATGAAAAAAGCTTTTTATATAGTTTACAGGTATAACTGGTTTTAAAATCAATTATTTTGAAAATGTATACTCTCAAGGTATGCAATTTATTAATTTATCTAAAAAAAATAGAAATTAAATTTACTAATTTCCAACTTTACTGGGACGTTTTATGCCAGGTATTCCCTATCCACCAAAATATTACTCTAAATTTATTTTAATATTTGTGTGTTTATATATATATATATGTGTTTATATATATATATATATATATATATATATATATATATATATAAACACATATATATTTATATTTTTTACATAAACACATAAAGATTTTTTTTTTTCATAATTTTTAGCATTAACAATCTTAAAACTGATTATAAATTGGCTTCCAAAAATAGTGATCTATATGCCGAATATTTGAAAAAAAAAAAATCTTACTGAGCCAGCTAGAGAAAATCCGATAGTTTGGTGCAATTTTATTATTATGTTGTCCAGATTTTTTTTTGTACGTAACGTTTTTATAAAGTATAGAAGATTGGCCAAAAACCCAAATTGCTAAACACTTGTTTGTTTTTTTTATGGTGTAACCCAGACTATTTGTGGCATGGGATAAAATTATTTTTGAGACTTCCTAAATCATAATAATAATAATAATTTAATTTGAAATATATATATTCCCAGCTAGTTGGTTCGCGCGAATAATTCTCATAGAATATTGGTCACTCAAAAAATAGCAAAATAATATGGAAATGAGTTATTACCATGTCTTATAAGTTAAGTTATGTGTAAATAAATATTTCTCTTCCTTCATAATTTGTTACTACAAAGTTCTGTGTGGTTTGCATATTTTTCCCACCTGAAGTAGAAGATAATCTTCAAAATGATGGTCCAATTGTTGGATTTGTTGAATAATTAACGAGTATACCATGTTAAAGTAACGAATGTGCAATGTTGGGCAGGTTAACATTTACATGGAACATTAACATGGTGCCAACGATATAACGGTACCGAAAAACAGAAACAAGCCCTTTTGGAAAAGGTTAAGTATTGTTTCATTATTTTTAGTATTTCTAATGGTCAGTTGATTATAATAATATAATAATTAAATATTATTATAATAAAAGGCACACCGGGAACAAATTATGCTAATGAAATATATATATCCTTCCGTTTCCTATGCTTAGGTTCCTTACTAAATTCCTAATCTTTAAGGAAAGTGTAAGTGCTTTATTAACAAAAGTTTAGTATCTTATTCTTTAGTATTCCATCAATTAAATAAGTCCACAAAGCGAAAATTCTACAATTTACTAAAATATTACTATTAAAATAGAATTTATTTTTGTAATGAAGTTGAAAAATTGAAAATAAAAATCATAATTCATTCACTTAAAAAACAATAAATATATATACATTAACGGAGCCAAGTTTTAATTTTTATTTGGGAGGGGAAGAGACTTCAGCCCGAAAGCTTTTTTTTTTATTCTACACATAACCATAATTACTTTGAAAAAAAAAATATTAAATACCTATATGAAATAGTGTTTAAGTGATTCTGGAAGGCCTATTAAATGTAATTACAGGAGCAATAATACTTTAAGAGATAATTTTTAACTTTTTTTTCCATTAAACATTTTTTTTTTATACTTACAAGAGGAAGTCAGAACCAGTGGGTTACCGATTTCATCTAAATTTTCGTTTGGTGATTCTTTTAAGAAAACTGAGTTATAAAATAAAACTTAAAAAATGAAAATCACTTAATTATTTATAGTAAAATCAATATAAGTCAATTAAAGCAATTGAGCAAATCCAACCCATATTGAGTGGGTCACCGATATCAACACAAATTTTATTGGTGATTCCTCATCGAAAAATATTATACAAGTGTCCCGCCGTTCGTTCCAATGTTTCTTAGGAGCCGAGAAAAAAAAATGATGTATGTAAAGAACAAAACGTATTTTTTATATATACATTATTTTTGCCCCCTAATTTATCATCAAACATTTCCCACTCATCATTAATATTGATAATGTATCACAAAAACAGTCATGTTAAAAAATAAACGTGTTTCAGCAAATTGACTATTTGATCAAATTATAACTTAAATTTAAATGTTAACAATTACCTAAGCGTTGCATTTTATTTTTTAATGAATTTACTGCCTATACAATTAGATGTTTGAAAAAGTAATTAAAAATAGACGTTAGATGTCCCATTACTATGTAATATTATTCAATTAAATATTTATACAATTTTATTAATAAAAAGTTTTTTTCGTTTTTATTTTAATAAGTTGCAGACTAATTATTATAAATCTATTTATTTATTTAATATTTCATTCAAGTTAAATTATTTTAAAAAACGTCGCATTCAGTTAAATGTTTTAGATCTTAAAATAGCTGTGTGGTAGACGGTAAGGATTTTTTTAAAATTTAAATTTAGTGAATTTTCTTTTGAAAAGTATAAATACATACTTTTTTTTATGAGCCCACTTAAAACAGTGGGAAGATAAAGAAGTGGGAAGGAAGTTAAAACATAAAGTTTGTATTTTCAACTCCCCGCCCTGAAGAAAAAAAAATGAATGGAAGGAAAGGATGAGTTTTCAACAAAAGAATATGCACAACACTCAATAGCTTTCTCATTAAGAAATGAGCAATATCTGGATTGTCTACAGTTTATTTTTTTGTTTTAAAGCAAAAGGTATTGAAGGCCCGGATTAAACAAACTACCAATCACCAGCACCAGGCACCAGCACCAAGCACCAGCACCAAGCACCAGCACTAAGCACCAGCACCAAGCACCAACACCAAGCACCAGCACCACAAAGGGAGCTTCTTCGTATTTCACTTTCCCTCTTCTTCATTTATAGAAGTGGCACATATTTTGTAAAAACTAGAAATAAGTACAATTCCTATTCTCGATATAAAAAGGTTTAAATAAAATAAAATAAATGCAGTTAATAGAAGTTAATAAAAACCGCTTATACGCCTTTTTCTATTTCTGAAATATCAAGCAATGTTTCAATATGGACATTAATATTGGTTGAGATCATTAGTAAAACCTATTGAATCTCAACATTCAAAAGTAGATAAAGAATTCAATAAATTAATATAACAAAAGGATTTAAAATAACATTCTGAATCTGAAGTAACATCAGCTTATTGTTAAAGATATAAAAAATATCTTTAAATCTGACTGAAAATAAACGTTTTCAATGTTTTTTTCTTCTTATTGGCATCATAGAAATGAGAATCAGGAAAGAAATTTGAAACTGACCAAATAATTTAAATCTCAAACATTTTACTTTGCATAAAACGATTCCAAAAATATAAAGGATTTGAGTGTGGCAAAGAAAATATCCTTTTCTGGAAACAATAACAACTTAAGACCTCAAAAATTTATATTTTTAAAATATTTCTATTCCAATAATTTAAAAAAAAACAAACAATATTTTAACGTTTTTTTCATCAATTTTTCCCAATATTTTTATGTATTTTCTAAATATATACTATAAGGCTATACTTTAATTTTCAGGTTAAAAGTTTTGTAAACTGAGTAAATGAATAGAAAATTACCCTATACAGCTAAAGGACCTTCATTATATAGATTTAATAAATAGAGATGTGTAATGTTTATATTTGTCTGTTGTGCTTGGACCTTAAACCAGCTATGGATTCTACGAGAGATGAAAGGTTAAACCTATTAAGAATAAGTGTACAAAGCAGTTTTCTATCTATTATTTTAAATTTTAGATATTTTCTATATGGTTTATGATTTGTTTTTACTTTTTTTATTTATTTTTTTAAATTATATTGATATTGGATAAATGAGAATAGAATAGAAATATTTAAAAAACAAAACAACAGATGTAATATAATATAATGAAGTTAAAAATTTTGTATTGTGATAAATAGTCCAAATGTAAACTAATAAAAAATGTATTTATATTATATCTAACAATATAATTGTGACAACGCTGTGAATAGACGCAAGCTTAACTACGACCTTTATCTATAATCAGATAAAATAGACTATTAACCAGTCGATGAAGCAGAAATTTTAATCTGGCTAATTAATTATTATTTACATTATCTCATAACATTTAGATCATTTCATTTTGATTGAATCATAATCAATGGAATGGGGATGCCTCGAGGTTTCTTTGTCACTAATGTTCGATTAACCGAAAATAAAAGCATTGGAAAAAAAAAGTATACATATATGAATTTCACTTTTTTTAAATATTAAATTTTATGAAGAAGCGTTTAAATGTACTTATTTTAATCATATTTGTGATTAATATATTAATGAATATATTAATAAATTTAACAAGGTAGATTTATTTTAGATAAAGGCACCAACAATTAAAATAAATAACGCTACCTACATTAATTGGATGCATTTAGAATGGGCAGTAGCCCTCCCCTCAGCCCCAGTTTCCCATACCCCATTCTTGTTCATTTTTAACACGATGTTCAGTTTTAATTTCAGTTTGTTGCTTAGTTTCATAGCAATTGCTAATTTTTTTTCATTTCTTAAATGATAAAAATAAACCTATTTAATCTTGGATCTGCCTCCACTAACA